ACTACGTCCAATAGTTTTCTTGCTGAGTCTTTAGGGTTTTCTAAGTATACTATCATGTCATCAGCATAGAGGGATAATTTTACCTCCTCGTTGCCTAGAAAATCAACAACTTCTAAAGTCTGGAATTCTGTATGAAGCTTTTAGACCCTCATTTTGAGAGGACTTAATGGACTGTGCAAAGGCCTTGCATTCAAGCGCCTACTTTGTTGACTAGAGCAGAAAGCGCTGGGGGAACCCCACTGGAACTCAATGTATCTTTCTACTGATGGAGTGAGTGTACTCTGATAGCACAGGGCATGCAGCATCAAAAAGCCCAGGTGTGGAAAAGAGGAAGAGTCAGTTTAAGGTGGGCCTTCGTCAATTATGGTGGATGGATCCACCTTTTTGCTCTGAGGGTGTCAAGGTCAATGTGGCTTCTGTGTCTGTATTCTGAGGCCTCTGACAGCATAGGGAGTACTAGTAGCATAGTCCATAGAGAGTTATGCTGCTAACCCTTGCCTCTCTCGTAGTTCAAATCCACTAGCTGCTCCAAAGGAGAAAGATGGGCAATTTACCACCTCCAAAAAACCCACTAGAGAATCAGCTATGAGTCAGTTCTGACTTGATGGCAATGAGTTGCTTGAATTTCTCAGAACCAGAGCTGGGACTATAAGGATTTTGTCCTCTAGGACCCACCTTAAATTTACTCCCTGGGTGGGACTGTGGGGAAGACAGACAAGGCAGAGTGGGAGTGAGAACAAAGGATTAGGAGGTACTTCCCAATCTCTACCCCAATCTCTTTACTAAAGTCATTGTTTCTTTGATCTTGCTGTCTGGGCAGGGAGAGGAAGAAGCTGGCAAAGCAGGAAATCCAGAAAAAAGGTCTATTTTACGTAAATGCAACAGAGACACCTAGAAAGCTTTCCTGGACAGATTTCAAAGCAGAGTTATGGGAAGTATTCAATGAAGATAGCGCAAAGCTCTCATCCATTGTCTACCTAGAGCTCCAGCTGATACGGTTATCAGAAACCTCTGAGTAGAAGTGAAGGGGCATAATCCCCTTCCTGGCTCTCCTGGGTGGGAACCAGTATCTTCTGATCCCTACCAGAATAATGCTATCATCAACTCTGGGGAGCTCAGCCTTTTCTAAGACAAGGTCTCACTTGATACACCCATCTTTGGCTTCCCCCACAGATTTGTTCTTTCCTGGAGAGCTGCTCTTTTTGGGAACTCTGCTCAGGAAAGCAACTTATCCTGGTTTAGAGTGGATGACATTTGAGGGCACCGGTCAGAAACATGCCTGGGCCTCATTCACCATAGAGAGTTCTTTAAGGAATAGACATTCCTGGGCCCCACCCAAGTCTTAAGGAGTTAGAACCTTTAGAGGTGGGGCTCAGGAATTTTATTTTCAATACATTCTGTGATCCCAGTGTGTCTCAGATTCTGGGATTGGGAACTACTGATGTCATTCTAGCTTCCACAGCGCATGTAACTCTTGGTCTTTTCATCTGTTTTCTGGGCACTGCTGTTGGAGTTAGCTGCCACTAAGTCAGCTCTGACACACATCATGGCAACTCTGTGCACAGCAGCACAAGCTTTTGCCCAGTTTTCCATCATCTTCGTCGTCATCATTGGTATGCTCACGTTCGTTGTGGCAGCCGCTGTGGATTTTGAGTGCCTTCCAACCAGGAGGGTTCATCTTCCAGCACTTTATCAGACAACACTCTGTTATGATCCACAGGGTTTTAACTGACTAATAAAATACATCACCAGGCCTTTGTTTCTAGTCTTCATTTAGAAGCTCCACTTAAACTTTCCCACCAGGGGTGACCCTGCTGGTATGTGACCCTCCTGGTATTTGAAAATACTGGTGACCTATCTTCTAGCAGCATTCTAGCAACACATATACCACAACAGTATGACAAACGCAAGTGGAATCACTCTGATTCCTGCTTAATAAATGAACCACGAAAAAGCAGTCTATCCATGCAGTAGATGAGTTGAGAACAGGGAACTGGTTTTGCAAAGAGATATGTTCTATTTGTCATGGGTGTCCTTAGTTCTGAGGCAGGATCCTTGTACCCAACTGCTATATGAAAATCCTTGCAATAAACCTGTATCCTGCCAGTTCACAGGGTGAGACCACAGTGTCTTGGTGATCCCTTTTCTACATGCCTGCCGCATCCCAAATACACACCCGGACCCACATATACCCTTCTAAAGTCAACATCCACTCTGGTATTGTCTATCTGCGTGAGAGATTGAGCTCACTGAGAAGGTGGAGAAGTATAGGTGGAGGAAATGATGATGAACAAAACTGGAAAACAATAAATCAGCAAAAAGTTTTCATTTACATAGTGCCTTCAAACCCATGAAATTGTGTCATCCGAGACTTGAAGTGGGAGTAAACAAGGTAGGTGTCTCTTTTCAGTTGTAGAAATAAGGTAGTGGTGTATCTTATCTATAAGTTTTTAATCAGACCTTCTAAAGGCAAGAAAGCTGCTATACTATCTCATTGTCTGCTCAAACTCTGGTGTTAGTGTGTTTACTCTATTCCTAGAGAAGATTCAATGAAAGAGTAGTAATAAATGTGCATCCTCTTACAGTGTCTCCAGTTCCACTTTCCCTCTACCAGAATAAATTAAGAAAGTGCTTAGTTTCTAAACAGCTAAGGGAAGAGGAGAGCCATGGATCTTCACTGAATACATTGTACTGATTCCCTCTACAGGTCAATCCTTGTTCTTCCCTCAAAGGGCACATATGTCATCTTGTTCAGAACTGATCAGAGTTCCTAGCCTGTTGAGAGTCTATTTAAGGAGACAGGAGGGAAGGGAAGTAAATGCCAGGAGCAAAATTAAAAAAAACAGTCAACATGGGTGCTACATGCAAGGAAGGTGAAAAGGACAGCAGGACAAAACAAGGTTGAAAGAAAGTGATAATTAAAATGCAGTAATTATATCTCACAGACATGTCTCAGGTGTATTGTCATGAGCGACAATGATCATTCTGAGAAACAACAACCTATAACTATCATGATGAACTTGAAAATATACTGAAAACTCATCAACCTAAGAATTCTTTGAGAGACAATCTTAGTTACCATCTGTGTCACCCTTCCCATACCCCGAGAAGGCTCATCTGTGGCAGGGCATGGGCTTGCTGCAGAATATGAACTCATGGAGCTGGAAGGACACGATCCACTTCCCTATGTTCAAGTACACATATAAACACTTATTTCTCCTTAAAGCTCTCTCTGTTCAGAGATGTGATGATAATATTTCTCAGGGTTTCCTCTCAATGTATTTTCACCACAAGCCAAGGAGGTCTCCTTTACGACCACTCAGACTTTCCCATTAAGAAGGAGGAAACTCACGAAGTCTTATTGCATCTTTAGCAACAAACTTCTTAGAAACCCTGTTATATACTTGAGGAGAGGAATGAATGTTAGTCAGAAGTATAATCCGTCTGACTAGTATTGAAGACAGTAAATCTTCACCATTTTAGAAGTGTGTCTATTATACTGGCATTTGATTAACTCAATAAATTACCTACTTTAGAGATTAAGACACTGAACCCCATAAAAATGAAATGATTGACCAAGGACACATAGCAGGTAAGCTGTGATCAGGATTCAAATCCATTCTATAGTTTTCTCTTATTTTAGGTCAAACAACCAAAATATCAAGAGAAAGATAAGAAACTAAATCTATTAGTTGTGAGTGAGTTTAAAAGGAGTCGTCTATGGTCTTTTCTAAAATACTGACCCGCTTGCCATTCCTCTCCCTCTTGCCCCAAGGTTTCTGAACACAGAACTTACTTTGTGCGATGGCCATGACTCCAGACAGGGGGGTCATGATGAGGTTTTGAGATTGCTGAGGGTTGTGGTGGGACAAGCTGTGGATATTTGTCAAGGTGCTGACAGGGGGCAAACCTCCTCCCGAGACTGAGATCTGCTGGAGAGAAGCACAAGATTAGCATGAGCAGAATGGGAACTACAAAGGAGAGTTTTCACAAGGACTCCACTTAGTAATTCCTTGGCACTGCTACTCAGAGAGCATTCGCTGCTTCATTCATCCAGTCACTCACTCAGTAACAACTAGTAAACGATGACCATGAGACAGGTACAGTTCTGGATGCTGAGGTTACAGCAGAAAGTAAAACAAACAGTGATCCCTGCATTTGTGGTGCTCATATTCATTGACTCTCATTGGGTTTCTGGCGTGCGTCAGGAATTCTTCTAACCATGTCTATTAGGTAGCTGTCACTTGCTCATGTTGAGAGCTTTCTCAATTCTGTTCTCTGCCTTTGATTAGTGCTAAAGACACATGACAACTAAAAGTAGTAACTGAAGAAATGCCCTGGTAGTTCTGAATGAGAGGAGGTTAGGCACAGAAGCTCTCACTGAGTACCAGGCTCTAGGATGTACCTCTTATATCTTAACTCCTTGGACCCTATTCCTTGGAGAAGGACATCATGCTTGGAAAAGGTGGGGGGATGGTGAAAGAGAGAAAGTCCGTCAATGAGATGGATTGACACAGTGACTGGGGCAATTGGCTAAAGCGTATCAGAGGTTGAGGATGGCACAGAATAGGACAGGGTTCAGGTCTGTTGTTCATGAGATCGCTATGGGTCATATTTGACTTGATGACACCTAACAATTACAATAAACTAACTCACAAACTTCACTAGAATCCTGTACTACTGTCATCACCAATTTACAGATAATTTTCTTATCTACAAGAGCAACAGTGTCTCTCTGGAGACTAAGGTGCACCTGATACAGGCCATGGTTTTTGCAATCACTTGTTATGCATCAGAGAGTTGGACAATGACTAGGGAGGATAGAAGGAGAATTGACGCCTTTGAGCTGTGGTGCTGGAGAAGAGTATTGAATGTTCCATGGACTGCCAAGAAAACAAACAGATTCATCCTAGAGAGGGTTAAACCAGGCTGCTCCTTGGAGGCAAGGATTCTGGGGCTTTGTCTGACATACTTTGGATATGTTGTAAGGAGAGACAGGTCTTTAGAGAGGGACATCACGCTGGGTAGAGTAGAGGGACAGCGCAGGAGGGGAAGACCCTCTATGAGGTGGATTGATTCAGTGACTGGGGTAATCGGGATGGGTGTGTCAGAGGCAATGAGATTGGCACAGGATAGAGCACGGTTTAGGGCTGTTGTACATAGGGTCGCTATGAGTCGCAAACGACTCGATGACACATAACAACAACAACAACAACACCCAGTGTAGATAAGTGGTGTACCTAAGGTCTCATAACTGGTAAGTGGTACAACTGTAATTCAAACCCAAGTCTGGGGGAGCTCTGGTGGCCTAGTGGCAAGAAGCTGTACTGAAATCCCAGAGGTACATGATTTAAATCCACAAGATGCTGTCCTGGAAAAGGAGGAGCAACCTCCTCCTCTACCAGTCAGATCCAATTTGATGGTACACACATAATCGAAAATAAAATAAAATTTTTAAAAAACCCACAAAAAGCCCAAGTCTGTCTATCAAACTTAGGTAGAACCTAGTTCTGACCTGTTATATTATAGGGAATCTGTTGCAACTACTCAGCTATTATATTTCTTTACTTATTCCATATCTTTCTTATACATAATTATTTTTTTAAAAAAGAACTGATGTTTCTTTCAAGAATAAGAATACATATGTTGGGGTCCAGATGTCCCTATTGTTTTACTACTATAATTTAATGGCAGATTCATATAGGAAATCTAATGTTTTTTATACATTTACTGCATGCATGGCCACTATTACTTTATTCCTAATAGTATCTTTTTCTTATTCATTCTCTTCATTTTTGTGTGTAATTTCACTAAAAAAATCTTTTTTTTTTTTAATTTTAGTGAAAGTTTACAAAGACTTTGGATTCCCATTCATTCATTGCTACACACTTTCTTTCCTGGCATTACAAATTCTTAATGCCAATAGGGTCTCTTTCTTCTAGTATTAAAATGTTACATATCTTATTGCATTGATTAGAACTTTCTGAACAGTATTATTAAATAATAAGTAGCTACAACAGGTGTGCTTGTCTTGAGTCTGAAGTTATTAAAAATGCTTTTATGGTCTCGCAATTAATTATAACCAAAACTCAACCCAACCCAATCCGCTGTCTTCAAGTTAATTCTGACTCATATAAACTGTTAGGTTTCTGAAATCTTGAATCTTTATTGGGAGGAGGGTGTCCAACTTTTTCCTGTGGAACCGCTGGCAGATTTGAACCACTGGACTTTTGGTTAGCAGCACAACAGATAATGGACTACATCACTAGGAATGCTTGATTATAAAACTCAAACCCCAACTCAGTGACACTGAGTGGATTCCAATTCATGGCGATCTTCCATTGGGTTTCTGAGGCTGTAACGCTTAACAGGTGGGGACAGCTCTACAGAGTTCCTGGTAGATTTGAACTGTCAGAGATGTACAACTTTTTGGTTAACACTGCAGACTGACTATACCACCAGAGATCTTTCCCTAATGATAAGTCAAAGTCATTGCTATGAAGTTGGAACTGACTCATTACTGATCTTTCAGCAGTTTTTCACAGATTGCAAAGGAGGAGACTGTCCCCTTCCTCCTGCAGAGTAGTTAATGAATTTAAACCGAATGGCTTTGAGTTAGTAGTGCAACTCTTTACCCACTAGGCTACCAGAGCTCTCTTAATTACAAGGTAGCTATAAGTTCTACTCACACACACACAAATACACTTTTCATGATCTATTATTTATACCTTTTATATAAGAATATATCCTTAGACAAAGACTGACCCCCTCATTCCAAACTAAGCTAGGCATTCCAGATGGCACAGGGGACCCTGGGAGGTGCTTTAGGATTAGGATATATTAGAAGTCTAGGCCATTTTGCATCCCTTCTCCAATTTCTCATTATCACAAGTTCTACAAAGGATAGCTTTTCTAAGCCCTAGAGCTTGACAAGTTCTAGTTCACCCTGCACTTTGGTGAACCCCAGAGCTTCCAGGGCTAATTTGAAAAAGAAAGAAAGAGAAAAAAAAGGCAGGAAACTCATTTGTTTGTGTTTTTAAGAAATTGAGCATCAAGAAATGAACTAGAGGTCACATGATAGAAAGGAATTTCAACCACATCAAACAAGAGAGAACCAGCCTGTTTGCTGGACTTGTTTTTCAAAATGTCAGTTATAAAAAGAATGAGACAAAAAAAAAAAAAAAAAAAGTAACCTGCCCTCAAACTGAATCCCTTGAGTAGCATGGTTCTGTTGAGAAAGTCAAGGAAATGACTGTATTTTCCCTGGCATTTTGACTCTATGGTTTAATGGTAATACTAACTGTGGACATCCATGATTAAAATTTGAAAAAAGTTTAACTGAGTAAGGCTTCAGAGTTTATAAGGTGCTTTCACTAATTGTGTTCTATAGTTTTTTAAATTCTCCCTCCCCACACCCCCTTGTGTACTGTTGAATCAGATCCGACTGGCTCAGGAGGAGATTGCCCCTCCATTTCCAGCGGAGCATCTGGTGGATTTGAACTGCGCTCCTTTGGGATTGCAGCACAGCTTCTTGCCACTAGGCCACCAGAGCTCCCTTAATTGTGACACAAGCAACATAGGCATTATTACTATATGTCCTATTATTACCATGTCCCAGTTTAACAAATGGATTAGTAAGAAAAGTGAGATACTAACTCTGTGTAATCTGATTAGTAAGTGAAGAAGCTGGCATTCAAACCCAAATCTGTTACCTTTGGGAGCCAACCAACTTTGGCCAGGTTACTTCCCACACTAAAATGCAACTATTATCTTCTATTTGTATCCACGACTGACAGAGGCATGGACTTGCCAAGGATAACCTCACATGATCATTCAGAGAGCTTTATTGACATTAATAGCTGCCACTCTTATCATGCTACCTTTTCTAGGTGCTGACAATCTATGAGGTTGATACTGTTATCTCTTCTTTTTTAAAGACAAAATGAAATTTAAATAAGGTAAGAAATATGTTCAAATGGTAGAGCTGGCATAAAAAATTAACTGTTTTAAAAAATTAACTATTTCTGTCTTAAAACTTGAGATTTTCACTATGAGACTTTACTGTTTTGATACTGTTAAAATATCTAACACACACTCTCATAATTAAAAAAATAAGGTTTAACAAGCACAGACTAAAACTCAAAACCTAGCCAGCTTTCTAGAAATGCAAGCCATTTGAGCAACGGAATGAGGATCACACAATGCAATACCAAGCTCAAGTGGATCAGTATTATTTCCAAGCCTGCTCCCTGGAGTAAGATTTCAACAGCCTACCATTGAAAGGGAGGTAGCCAAGTAGTTAGAAACTATACCGCAATCCAAAGGCACTTGGTTCGAATTCACCAGCTTCTCCATGGGAGAAGGATGGGCAATCTCCTCTTGTGCAATTTAGTTCCTCTGAACACCCGCTGGAAAGTGAGCAATGAGTTGATTGTGACTTGAGAGCAAACAACAATAACAACAATCCTACTGAAAGTTGCTCTGATGGCACAATCTATAGCATGCCACACTGCTACCCAGCATAGCTGTTCAAATTTACCAGCTACTCTGCAGGAGAATGATGGACAACCTTGTCTCCTCTCATAAAGATCTATAGCCTGAAAAACCCAATGGAAGGCCACTCACTCTGTGTTGGAATTAACTAAATAACAGTGAGTTTGAGTTGAGTTCTACTGACAACACATTACAAGGCTTACCTCAATAAAACTAGAGCTACAATCTTCATGTCAACGCTACAATCTTGGAGTTATTAGCTAGCATTTTACAGAGAAGACAACTCAGGTTAAACAATTTGTCCATCCTATTGCTGATAAATGACAGAACAAAGACTTGAACATAGAACTGTGTGGATCTCTCGTCTGCCGCTGTTTTAACTATACCACAATTTGTCTTCCCGGAGCAAGAGCTATGATGTACTTATACACTAACAGAGAAGGGACTCTTAAATTTGAGCATCCCGTGATGGTGACACAATGTAAGAACCAAAAGGTTAGACAAAAGTGAAAACTTAGTCCTTGTAGATAAGCGTCCAGGTGTTTGCTAACGTTGCGGCCCTGCTGTCTCGGTCAATCATCAATCCAGTCATTTACTGCTCTGCTAGGGCACTACTGAGCAGAACAGGAAGACGTGAGCATGTCTGAGAGCTGTGTTTGGAACAGCCCTGGCCTGCAACTTGCCTCTCAGAAGGAAGGGCAGGAGAGCTCAAAGGGAAACTCCAAAAACCAAGAGACAGCAAGAGCTGAGGCTTGGAAGGTTTTAGTCACTGAGAAAACAAGACTTCTTCACAAGGCCCCTTTCTCCTGGGAAGTCTGGGCAATCCTTAGCCCTAACTCGTTTGGATCTCGGAGTACCTTGAACAAATCTGCAGGAATTGTCTGTGACTTTCATTCGGTAACTGATTAATAAAGAATCATCTGTCTTAAGTGATGAGAGGAGGGCAGCAATACTGCACAAAGCCTCCCACGGGAGAGCCCTTGTACTTCTTGTCTGCAGAGAACGCTGCCAGAAAGAGCAACTCCAGTCCCCTAAAATGAGAGCTGGCCAGGCCAACTCGTTCCACAGAAATTACATTTGTTTTTCCTCTTAGGTGCCAGGGACTCGATCACCTGTGACTCACTATTCCTGTGTTGCCTACACAACACACACGTCAAGGTCTGAAATGGCATTTGCTTCCTCACTGCCCTTCCCCCACCTCCTGCTCCCTCCTGGTCAGACACCTTGAGGGAATGTGTGTACAGCTCCACCAGCAGCATGGAAGCCAGGAACCTGGGACTCCTCCCTCCCCTGAAACATGAGCAACACCCAAATGATAAAGTTTTCCACTTTCTACCCTGACCAGGGAGCTCTGGTGGCCTAGTGGCTAATGAATTTCAATGTCAACCCAACGGCAGGAGGGTTGAATCCACCAGCTGCTCCTCAGGAGAAAGAGGGGCACTGGAGGGTTCAACCTTAAAGGAAGGTCAGCTATGAGTCAGTTCTGACTCAAAGGCACAAAACCACCACCACCACAACCCTGACTCGTATCTTAATGCTTCTGTTCTCCCATTAGCTACTCCCTTTGCACCAGCACTGCTCGAGGACTTTCTCAAAACTCATTGCTGTGGAATCAGAACTAACTCACAGCTGAGCTGCCATTGCATTTTCCAAGGCTGCAAGTCGTGCAGGAGGAGATTGCCCACCTTTCTCTTACAGAGCTCCTTGTAGGCTGAGGACTACAACTTTGCTAATTCAAGATTCAAACTATTTCTCATGAAGTACCCTAAACTTACATCTGGGAGTTGGGCTGCGTTCAATTTAAATAGAGTAATATTAACATTCACACAGCAATCACCACACTGAAATCTACGGGATATTTACTGTGCCAAATACTGTGCTAAGTATTTAACTTTATTTCCTAATGCCTCTGAAAACTCTATGAACTTTGGTAAATGTCAATAGTTTTAGAAAGGCTTCAGGCCTTTTGTTCATAGGGTCACTAGGAGTCGTGCTAAACTGGAAGGCAATCAACAACTATTGCTGTTACCTTATGTTACAGATAAAGTAGGGAGGCTTAGGGTCGGTAACATGCCTGAGGCAACATAACCATTAACTGTTGGAACTGGGATTTGAACTCACATCACTGTAACACCAAAGGGGGTGTTTCTTACTCTATAAGCACTGCTCTGCCCACAGCTGCCGTTTGTGCTGTGTTCTTCCCAGACAGGGCAAACAGTGTCCTTCAGAGTCTCAGTTCAAGAAGCCTCTCCCCACCTCCTGCCAGCCACTAAATCCTTGTTAATGACTCTCCTTGCCAGCACCAAGGGGCTGGTGAAGACAGGGCTTGTTTCAAAGTAAAGTCCCCTCTGGGTTAAAAAACTGGCTTTGGAGGCCTTGGGGTGGGGGGATGAATGAACATTTTATCAACACAAATGTCATTGGCAGCCCCAAACCAAACAGTGTCCCACCCGGCTTGCTCCTTTATGAGGCATTCAATCAATAAAATGAGAGCAGGGCTCTGTCAGATTTATTGGTTGGGTTCAAACCGAACACCTCTTCTACCCGCCAAAGGCTAGGTCACCAGCTTTACCTTTCCGTTCCAACTCTGGACAGCCCCCATTTTCCCCTGTGGGGCTACAATGGTTCATTGTTTGAGGCAGGCCTTGTGAGAAGTTGTATTTGTTTTGCCTCTTATCTTATCAGCTCCAGAGCTACAATGGCCCAGGTGTACTCACCATTTTACCATCAGGTGAGAGGAGATTGTGGCTGGGGTCCAGGCTGGCTGGGGAAACTTGCTGTAAAACTGACTGGCTGGTCACCATGGCACTGTTGCCATGGTGGCTGATGGTTGAGGAGGAAGTGACTTCATTATTTCCCTGCTGGCTGTAGCGTAACCCTGCAAAACAACACAAAGCCAATTGGCAACATTAGTGCCTCAGAATCTTGGAACCCTGACCGGGCTCTCCTTGTTTTTAAAGATGGAAGACAAAGAAACCTCAAAATTGTCTTTTCCTCTCCTGTCTGCTCACAAAATTACTGGCTCTCAAAAAAAAAAAAAAAAAAAAAATTACTGGCTCTCTTTCTCTAGGGTAAAGATGATATGCTCTCCAAGTCTAAACTGTAAGCTCAATGAAGATAGGACTCTCTTATCTGTTTTGTTTTGTTCATTGCTATATTCCCAGTGCTATGGCATGTTTTTGTTGACCCTCCAGTGGGTTTTCAGAGACAGTAAATCACACAGGAGGAGAGTGTCCACTCTTCTCCTGCGGAGCAGCTGGTGGATTCAAACTGTATGCTTTTGGGATCGCAGCACAGCTGCTCACCACAACCACCAGAGCCCTCTTTGGCATATGGTAGCAACTCAATAAATATCTGTTGGGTGAATGAATGAAGGAATAAGTGAATTGTGCTTTTTGTTGCTTCTACAGAGGTGTTTTTTTTTTTAATTAATTTTAATGAAAGTTTACAGAGACTTAGGGTCTACAGAGTTCTTTTAAGGCTAGGCTGAGGTTATCTTTCTTCTTCTGGCTGGAGCAGTTCCTGCAAAAGTGCCTTCCTGAAATTGTTCCCTGGCATCCTTTGGCTTTGTGAGACTGCAAAGTATGAGTAGATTCACTATTCAAAGAAGAATAACTGGCCCAGTGACCCTGTAAAAGCCATAACAAAATGCTTCAAGTCTCTGGGTACTGTGTTTGGTTTGTTGTGGTGGTACTGTTTTTAGCAGAGCTCAAAAAGTTAAGAAACAGACAGAGCAGAACAGGGATGGAGCTACAGCTAAGAGTCTTTGGATCTGGAACCTTTGTGTGGCCCCATTTGGAAAGCACATCTGCTCCGAGGTTGGGCAGATACCACACACAGTCATGACGAGGCTGCTTTGTTAACAACCACAACTGAAGGAGCTAAAGTACCTCAGATCTGGTTTACAAAGGCAAAGTCTCACTGAATGAATATGTTTGTGAAATGGCTAGCCAAAGACAAGACTGGGAGCAGCTGAGAATGTCTCACCCTAAGCTCAAAGCTCAGAAAGACAAAGTTCTCATTTCTATGGAATAAGAAATCTCTGGATGTGAAAAAAAACAAACAATACATTTCAGGGAATCTATCTGGAGATTTGGTGGCATATTCTATAGTGTGTTGCACTGCTCATCAAAAATAGTTCATATCTGATGGTTCCAATGCGCCAGCAGCTCTGTAAGGGAAAAATGGGCAGTCTCTTTCCATTAAGAATTGCAGCCTCAGAAACCCAACAGAAAGTCACTGTCACTATGAGTCAGAACCATGTGGTGGAGGACAACCAAATGCTCTAGGCATAGAATCATTCAGAGAAGTGGGCCAACTATTCCATCTCACTTTTCCTTTTACCCAGTTTTCCCAAGATGAACTATGACTACATGCTGATTTTGTCAGTCTATTTTCCTTTTGCCTTGCCTCCCGTCCACCCTTCAGTGGAGCCCCACCTTTCAGAGGCAACTACAAAGTCACCCTGAGGATTAGGCAAGCTGCCACAGCCAGCAGCCTCCAATTCATTAAGATGAAGTTTGCCAAGAAGAGACTCCAACCAATTTTTTTTTATCATCCTAAAGATATTATCCTAGGCTATTATCCAGAGCTAAAGAGGGCTAGGGGAAACCCAAAAAAATTTAAAGCAGGGTTCTAATCTTCAAGAGCAATTTATCCATGATGTGGCTTGATGTTTGCTCTGTGGGCCTTTGCTATTGGTTATTTTCTCCATGCTTTGAAGCCAACAACCATTGGTGGGAAAGAACTAGAATTCAGAGGCTATTGGTCTTATACAATAATATAGTTTGGAGGGGGGACAGGATTTGTGAAGGAGGGTGAAGGAAGAAAGGCTTCCCTCTCTTCAGCACTCCTCTCCAGTCCTGTGTGCATCCTTCTGAATGTCTGCAACCCTCTAAGTCTCCTATTCATCTTCTATATCATCCCACTGGATTAAATTAGCTTCTTTTCTCTATTCAGAGTCATCCAGGGCTGCTTTTAATAGCTTAAAGTGTTGTTAGACAGAAGAAGAAAGAAATTTGAATTTTTTTAGCTCTGAAGGGAGTGCGTGGCCCAATAGAAGAGAAAGGTAGGGTTTTGGTGTGTTTTTTTTTTTTAATCAATAAATTGAAGAATTTTCTAACAATGATGAGCACGAAAAGCATTGTGAACTCTGGAGCTCGAGAAACTCAGGTTCAGATCTTGACTCTGTCCTTAATGGTTGTATGATCTCGGGAAAGTTATTGTTCCTTTGTGCACCTTAGTTTCATCTTGGAAAATAAAGAAAATACATCCCAAACAGGGCAAATTTTTTATTGGGCATAACATCTACAAAACTTCTAGCATAACTATAGACAGCGGTGCTGGGGGGAGGGGAGCTGGAATAGAGGTGTAGTCCAAGATATTAGCCCTAAGATTCGAACATTCTAGACAACTTTGGGCAGACTGCAAGTACTGAATGAAAAGACATTTCAGGAGAGAACAGTTCCAAAGGGCCTTCCTCTGACTTGGGAAGGAGCCCGACAACTACCTTCTTGTCCTTTCCTTTATTCAGCCCTGGACTTCACCCGGTGTTTCTCCTGCTGTCACTGACTCTCCGACCAGCTGTTTACCTCCCCAAGATGCTCTACTCCTGAGAGAGTGGTGATAACGCTGAGAGTCGGGAGTGTTTTCACCTCCCAGCCTGTCCCCATCATCGATTCAGTCTCAAGTCAAACAGTCTCTGGATTTAGCCTATTTAATTTGGCTGGAGGAAGAGGGCCAGCCCGCTGACAATCAAATATGGGTCACAGGGAAGCGTCTCCCCTACCACAGGCTACATAATTATTTATTTAAAAATAATTAACCAAAAGGATATCCACAGGAAACAAAAGCCTTCTTTACTAGGGAGCCTGGTAGGAGAGTCAAGAGTGATTTGTTAGGATCCAGCAGCATAGCCGGAGGCAGCATTTTTTAAACTTTGTTTTCTCCTTGAGTAAAACTCATTATAGAAGAAATAGAATGGTGGAGCTGCTCTATCTAAAGACAGACAGCCCTTCTGGTGGGCCTAGACATTCCTTTAGAAAGCTCTGGCTAAAGGACAGTGTTCTGTTGGGGGTCTTGGTTTTTATGTCAGCTCTATTGGGTCACAACCAGGTGAGCTTCTACTTCCTTATTTATAAAATGCAAGACTTTCAGCAGTGGGAGAGGGCAAAGAAGCTGTTCATTAACTGCAGGGTCCCCTGTAACTTTCCCCAGTGGTGCTTGTCTCCCCAGGAATTTGGAGATTACCCTGGGCCCTAAAAGGGTTGCAGTAATCAACCAATTCTCTTAGGGTAAAGAATGCATCACAAGCTGCCTGCTGGAGGTGGACCAGAAGTAGATGTTCTTGCTAGAGAAGAGAGAGGAGAGGTCAAGTCCTTGTGTATTTCACAAACTCAGAAGAGTGCTTACAAAGAGCATGAAAGTGGAGTGTAAGGTAGGCAGGCCCTAAAGCTAGAGAGCGTAAATCTTGATGCCACCACATCGTTAATTGCTATGTGACCGCAGCAAAGTTATGTAACCTCCATGAACTTGTTTCTTTATTGTTAATGATATACCCCCGCTGAGGTCACGGTGAGGAGCCCTGATATGCATCATATACTGGGCTGCTGAAACAGATCAGTAGTTTGAATCCACTAGCCACTCTGCAGGAGAAAGAGAGGAAGTCTCCTCCTATAAAGATTTACAGCTCCAGAAACCCACTGGGAGGTTGCCCGTGAGTTGGAATTGACTTAACAGCAATGCGTTTGGTTTGAGATAGATCATGGTGAGGAATGAATGAGTTAATGGATGTGAGAGTACCCAGCCCATGCTTGGCACATCAAAGCTACTCACGACACATGAATTCCTCCTACCTTGGGACTGTGTTTGTCTAAAAGGTATACTTGTTGTTAAATGCCATCGAGTCGCAGGCAACTCATAGCGACCCTATGAAGGAGAGTCCTTGACGCTTGGGTGCCTTTCATCCTCTCTCCATGTTCATAGGGCTTCCGGAGGCAAGCTATTATGGAAGTGGACGCCACTCCTCCTTAGGAAGGCTGAATTCACAAAACTTTACTGAGCACCTATCATATGCCAGGCAGTGTGCTAGGGAGCCTGTGTTAAGAAGAAGTGAAGTGGCAATGCTTCACTATTGCAAGCTCTGAAAATGAATATACGACAAGTGCTCTGATTCAATAGTAACTGTGCAAAGGTGTCAGGTTATAGCCACAGAAGACCCTAAGAGAAATGAAAATGCCAGAAGATAGGTGGCCACGTCCCATTTACCCACTTCCTGACTTGAACTACTAATTGGCCTTATCCCCATCACTGGCCTTATGAACCGCCTAAGTGTATCTGCAGCAGAAGCCATCCTAATTAGCGTCTATAAGCCCTTGGTGAGGCGCTCAACTATTTTCACCTGTTTCCAGGCCTCAGTAACATGAATTAGATTTACTTCTGAAGCATATGAAACAGAGACAAATAATTTGGCTTCTCTGGTGGTTTAGTGGTAAGGAGCTGTGCTGACAACCCAAAAGCACACAGTTTGGATACACCAGCTGTTCTGTGGGAGAAAGATGGGAAATCTCCTCCCTTGAGTTTTTGTGCCTCTGAAAACGCACTGGAGAGTCAGTTATAAGTTGGTTCCAACACAACAGTACACAACAGCAGTACTCAATATAACTAACTGGACAGAAAAGTCAAATGCATGGAAGGAACTTCTTGGAACTAGGCCTTATGTGTTCCGGCACCAGAACCCGTGTCTAGGAGACACTTCACATTGCTACCTAGATTGCTTGTGGAAAAGCCCTCTAACACTTTAGAAGAGTAGGGCATTCCTGACTCCAGTCTGCCTTATTTTCATTCATTTCCCACCACATCACACACAACCATGCCAAA